AAAGGTGTCGTCTCCACATGCTACGATGTCTCCAGTGGCGAAGACTTGCCTGGCGAAACATGAAAAACAGCAAATTGCTAAACCCTTTTTTTCAACATAGATTTAAGGAATTGTTTTATTTTAAAATAATTTTATATGTTTTGTGTTGAAGAATAAAGTCTTTTAATTTATTAATTTTTATTAATTTAGCAGTAGAGCTCCTTGTGCAAGAGCTAATCCAGGAAAGTACTGCCACCTTGCCTATTTCTGTCGTCAAGCAGTAATGTGTACATTGCTGCGTTCCAGGTTTGTTACTTTAATGTTTATTGGATTAACCAGATGTTTACTTGACTTCGCGCAATCTTCTCACTGCCGACCGGCAGGAAGAGGCAGCTGTGGTGGAGAACACCCATGCGCCACCAGCGACTGGCCTCTTGCAGCGCTTGCATGACCCCGACACACGAACGCTTCATGGCATCCTTGCCACAGAAGGAGCAGGTGTATTTGGCGTGCTGGGTAACCTCCATTTTCTTCACCATCTTACTGAGGGAGGCACCGTAAAGTGTGCCATATTTGCTAGTGATTCCGACTTTTTTTTTTTTTTTGTTTAGTGCGCTTGGCCATTTTAGATAACCTGTCTACAACTGTTGACAGAAGAATATTTTCAAAGGTAAGGGTGCTGGTGAAATTACAAGCACATAGGACGTGTCAACTTATGTCTCAAGGTGACGCGAGTAGTGGTAGTGCCACACAGATCTTTGTGATTTCACTACGACTGTTATGGACAGGCGTGTCGCTTCCCACCAGGCGTACGTCTTGTTCATCCTGTTACTTAGTATCATAAAAAAATGAAACTAAGTTCAGTCAGCGTTATTGTTTTCAATAAATGGTACCTAGTATTTATTCATTTATTTTTGTCTTATTCATGTTGTTCCATATTATTTATTTTTGTCTTTTGTTGGCTCAATTGGATTATTATTGCGATTATAGCGCATATTCAAAGAAATTTAAACAGCAGCTGTAAATTTAATTATTATTTTAAAAACCCAAGAGATGTCTGTGTACTGCTAGTGGAGTCTAAATACTTGCTTATTTTATTTAACAACGCTGCTAAGATTCAATCTGTGTGGGTTAGCGTCGCTTAACTGGCATAAATATGCAGCGCGATGAGACCGGCGCGAGTGCAAAGGCGACAAAGCATTAGTACTGTACTATCAGATCGGTTCGCGCCGCAAGGGGCAAATCGCGCAATCACGCCATGCGCGTCTACCCAGGGCTGTTCCATTGATGTTGTAGATTTTGAATATTTTCTAATACAAAGGCGATTAGGCGACAAAGCTTTGCGATGCGCTAACAGATAAGCTTGCGCCACAAGGGGTACATCGCTTTATCGCACCTTGTTCTACTCGCTAGGGCTGTTCCATTAACGTTATAGTTTTGTTTTTATGATATGACGTTTTTTTATGTGCACCTGGTAGTAAGCTACTGGCTGTGGCTGTTACTGTGACCGTGCATACCTGTACCGGTAATTTCACAACTCCTTAAAACCGCAGCAATGGTCATATTACTCTTTGGCGCCAGAAATATGTATAGGGGCAGTACTTCCCTAGACGAACTCTTTCACAAGGAGATCTTTTGCTACGAAAGTTATTGTCAAGAAAAGAAAATAATATTACTGGTCGACTTAAGAGCCTATAGACACGGCGTGTTTTTTACGCACACAAGAAACGCGTTAACGTGATTCAAACGACATTAAGTCGCAGTCTGTAAACTTTTGCATTCAGTTTTATAGAGTCTCTACGGCGTGGCGCCATAAACGCGTGTAAAAAATACGGCGTGTGCATAGGCCTTTACATTGATTTAATTTCGATGTTCGATGACGCTGTTATGAGTAAGTCGTGATATATTACGCGAGAAAGCTTGTTAAAGCTTTTTATTGAACTTGTAGTTTATTAATTCTCTATAAGTGCGGTAAAGTCTTTATTCAGCATTAGAGCTTTGCTATCACTAAAAGTGGCAAATCATGGGTAAAACTCAAATTTGATCATTTTTACGTACAAACTATATACTAGCAAAAGAAACAATGTTGAATATTCCCACAGCTACCGTCTCGTTTCTAGTTTGCACTTTACACAATTGACACAAAATTCATTATGATATATAGTATTTATGAAATTGTACATAGCATAATGAACTTCATGCCAATAATTTTATAATGTAGAAACTAAATACGATACGGTGCTGCGCGATTTTCTCAGACTACGCGACAATTTTCTTGAAAACGCGCGACCTGTTCTTTGGCTCGTATTGTGTTCATTCGAGTTGTCAGATCGCCTCGTAGAAGCCTCCGGTGACCACAAGCCTGACAGTTATTTCCACAAAAGAATTAGAGAGAAAGAAAAGAAGAAGAAAAGCTTAGCTATTCAAAGAGGAAATGGTGACAGACTTCTGGGTACGATGCTCTCGAGGAAATTTTCTACTAAGAAACTTTCAAATACTACCCATATTATATTAAATTTATATTATGTTTATATTATTTCTGAAAATAGTCATACATAGTCTATGTACGAGTGATAAATTATACTCGTAAATTTAAAAATAATCATTATGCTATGGTTACAAAAGTTCCCTTCCTTTCCATTCAGCAAAACTGCAATCATTCTTCTTCCAATCGTTCCAATGTATTATTACATCCTCGACGTGAACCAATACCTTTCTCGTACCTCAGAGCGCGTAGAGCAAAATACCAAATTTTAATGGGAATGAAAATTCTTCACGGTTTATTGATGCTCTTGATCTTCACAACCAACTGAGCCTCCTGTACGTCCCGGAACGGTACGCGCGGCGGCGTGCAGGTCGCCCACGCCGCCGGTTTGCCCCGCCAAGCGCTACGCGTCCGCCCCGCGACAGGTCCCTCTCTGACAAATACTGGCTTAAATCAACGCACTCTTGTCTGATAAGCCTAAACGTGATATGTATCGGGATGAATGGAAGAACATCTTAAATAATTGTATAATGTTTTGCGAGAAGAATGAGTGCGACTCCACCTGTTCATAAATATTGCCTTCCATATCATGTTTTATGTTTTATTATTATTGTTCTTGCTAATTACTGTACTTGGATAAATCAGTTGTAATTAGTATAAATAAAATAAATACAAATCTCGGTTCTTAAAACTCCGTGACCATTATAGTCGGCGCTATGTATTACCCAAACCAAAACATCCTCTCAAAACACACTTTCTCGAAAGTAAATATTTTTATTTTACGTGTTTACCAGCCCTAAGTTCTACAAAATTTTACAACGTACCTATCATAGAATGCGCGAGGCAGGGCGATAGAATCAAAATCACGAATGCATTACACGTACACATCAACAAAAGCATTTTCATTTCATGAAGGTTTTAACTGCAACGACATTTGTATCTGCCATGCGTGCTAAAATAGAATACGAGTCTGCACATGGCAACTAATATGGACGACAGGATTTTGCGCACGAGACAACGTGAGCAATATAGGGTTAAAAAAATACTGTACCTACTGCAATCCGTAATAAATCGAGTTCCTATATATATATATACATATATGTGTATGTATATATATATATATATATATATACATATATACATACCCATATCTTAATCCAACGTCTAGGTTGGGAATTAATAAAAGTATTTCTAGGCAATAGATAAATAAGATTATAGACAAATTTCAAATTTTTACAGTGATTGATTGATCAAAGTGTACAGTATATACTACATAGATGGGTAAGTAAATATACAGAAAGATTCTTATAAAACAGCCTCAGTGGCCGAACGGTTACCATGCTAGTCTGCCACGCAAAGGTCCTAGGTTCGATTCCCGGGGGTCGGGAGATATATTTGAATGGCCTGTATTTATTTCTCTCGTGAGTTTGGGTGCAATTTGTGGTGTTCTATGTGTGTCTCCAAGGCACCCACGATACAGGGGTTACCTTGTGTGAGGCTATGAATGTGTGAGTTAAAAAAATAGAGAGGAGTAAAATACATACTCGTACATATGTTTAATTAAATAGAGTTAATTTATTTATCAAAATTTTCAGGTTTACCTTTATAATTTTATTATTTAGACACAAAGTGGTCCTTTCTTAAATGTTTTAAAAATTATTTTTGGAGAATTAAATAAAAGATTATGTAGTAGAGAGTTTGTGAAACAGACTCGACAAGCAAAAGTGTTTGTAAAGGGGCAAGCTGAAAACTAGTGCTGTACCAGTATTTCTAAATAGTCTTTCTTACTTTATTAAAAACAGTCATGGTTGTTAATGGTTTGACCTACCGCCTCTCAAGCAAAGGCCGTGGATTTGAATCCGGGATCGCACCTCTGAGTTTTTCGGAATTTATGTGCGAAATTTAAGTTTGTAATCCCCCAAAAATGTGTGAAGTCCCCAACCCCCATTGGGCCAGCGTGACGGACTATGGCCTCGACTGAGAGAGACCCGTGCCCAGCAGCGAGACATGAATGGGTTGATGAAGAAGAAGACTTTTTATGTAATCAAATTGTGTGGAAATACACAAATCGTTCATATAGGTGTATTATCATTATCCATCTACTGACGTATAATTGGCATACTTCAGACACATTGGCGGTAATACATAGTGAGACAATACCTGTGATAATACGAGAGAGAGCTGCACGTGCACTCTTCCGGCCCATTAGCATTGAATGGCGACGGCGACGCGTGCGCATGTCGCGATCATTGTCGCCGCGATTAAACCGGCGCTCAATCTAAATCAATCCACGCCGCTGTCTCCGGCGCATTGTTCTCCCACCACCGTCGATTAAATTTAATGACAACATTTGACACGTATGTACATTACACTCCGGAGCAACAACGACTAAGGTCAAGTGCAATGAAGACACTATTATTTGAATGACTTTAATGCCACGTCTATGTTTACGTGAGAAATGCCTCCTCCTGTTGCATTAGATATCACACATGAATAAAGAATGCAATTAATAAATTTAAACATATATTTTACTCACCGGTAACTCTAGATAATCTCCAATGGTGTACTTGGCAGCGCCGCGTCGGATCTCCGCTAATGCTGTGAAGTGCTCGTCTCGACGCATCTTTTTGCGGAGTAGAGCACGTGCGTACGGATACGCGGTTAAGTATTCGTTGTAAGCGTCTATTAGTTCACCCATGAACAGTTGTTTCAGCAAAATTGCACTTTCACTTGGCTGACTCTCCAACGGCGGAGGTGGCAGCTCCCGGTTCTTCAATAACTCCGGAATACATTTTGAAGCAAACGTGCTGACGCCGCTCGTGGACTCGCAAGACGTGAACGCGCCGGTCGAATCGCTTGAACCACATTTCGAAAACGGAAACGCAGAAGAAGCTCCACTTTTCTCACTGCTTACTGAACTCTGGCGAGTGGTGCTCGTCTTTTCATAATAATCAGGATACTGAGGCTCGGACTGACTTTCAGTTGAAGGTGACGATTCTTCAACAGCTGCACTACTGTACTGTGCATTTTTTATACAGTCGTACAGATCTTCAATCGATTCATACGGCGTCATACTGCCACATGATTCTCCTTCGACATCTCGTAGCGTTTCGTAAATTTCCTCATTTTTGCGTCTAGCGACAGGAGTAATAGCCGACTCGGAGCGACTACGTTTCACACTTCTTATAAGATCGTAGCCAAAATCTATTGGATTGAGGAAATCCCATGTAACGTTTGCCCAAACGTTTTCGGAGATATCAGCCGATATTCTATGGTCGACACAACATTGTCCTCCGTTCCTAATGGTCACGGTGGTAACTGTATCGACGGTTTCTGCGAGCGAGCTATCGGCCACAGACGTATTGCAATCTATTGGGATATCGATAATGACTTTGTGGAGGTTCGCACTAGTTGAGGAGATGCTGGATACGCTATCGTCAGACTTGCGGCTTTCCGTGGATTGTCCGTTGCATTCAGAGTTAGCGATGTCCGAAGTCGCATCAACATCTCTATGGGATATCACACCCTCCTGGATCAATTCACTCAGAATACTCTTTGAGTCTCTCTTTGAATTTGTAGTTAAAATGCTTGATGTTGACTGTACATTGTCTTCTTTTTCATGTTTACCTTCGTTGAGAAGCAAGCCAGACTCGATGTATTTGCTCATGCGCTCGGTGAGAGCCTCACTGGCCTCCGAAACTGACTCCAGGTAATAGAAAAGAAGGTGATACTCCTCCTTGGTGATGACTGCAGCTCGAAGCAGCGGTTTGCCATATAACTCCACGGCCGAGAACAAAGTCGAAGCTGTAATAAAAGAGAAAGTACGCGTCATTCATACATATTTCGAATTTTAATGCAACTAGGGTACGGATTGCAGAAGAAATAGAGATGTTCTTGCTATATAATGTCCGCTTTATCTCAGATACCAAATCTCATTGAATTAGAATGGACAGACAGATTCAGGCCTTGCGTAAAGTTCATCAGAGCCACAAAATACGACCGAGACCTTTCCCGCGCCTTGAACTATCGCGTTGGGCGTCGATTAAGAAACGTTTAGATAGTGTTAATCAAATAAACAATATATCAAAATTACACAACACTTAGAACGACTCCTCTTAGTGGTATTGTTTTATCGCTATATCTCGCCACGATTTGAGTAGGTGCGGCAAATAAATTGATATATATCATTTCGATACATCTTAATGACCACTAATACAATAGATTGCATAAACGCTGTTTGATTTAGACTTACACGGTAAAAAGTGGGTAATTACTTGAATTACATAAGTAACTCTATGTACATTATTATTAATACAAGTAATCGAATACTAAGAAAAATGCCTTCTGTCCAGGTGGATTCGAACAAACGCCTTCAGCAAACCGTGTCTGACGCTCTCCCAATTGAGCTGCGGTACGAACCAGCAGATATGCTTATTGCAGATCTTTGTTTTTGGTTTTCAACGACTTTTTTGCTGTAGTGCCATCTGTGAGAAATCTATTAAAGCTTTTCTTCACTCAGCCAGGTATGTACATTTATTTTAAGGTTATTGAAAATCACGATGTTTTACTACCATGGTATTCAATTGTTTTTTTTTGTGAAATTACTCCACTAGTTTGTTATAATTATTAATACAAAGATCGAACTCTAAGAAAAAAATCCTTCGATCCGGGTGCATTCAAAAGCGTCTATAATACTGTGTCCATTATTTCAAAACATGACGTTTCGTTATTACAATAACAGATAATACAATCTGCTTTCAATAATTTCCTTTATGCTAGTACCTGAAGAATCTAAAACGTCTTTGCATTATGCTTATTATAATATTTATTTAGCATTGGAATGTTACTTCTATCTGAATTTAATATTAATATGAGTGTCACGACGAGTGCAAGTCTAGTACATATAAGCGTCTTCTGCGAAAGATTACCCGACAATAGCGTGCGTACGCGTTTATTGCTAAACCGCTTTCTACAAACGCCAATGTGGGCAGAATACTCAATAACTTCACATTGATGAACCGAGGACTGTCTAAGAAAGCCAAATACATTTTAAAGCGTAACTCGTTTCGTAAAATGTCATAAAGGTGTTGGTGAAAAGCGAAGAACTGACCAAAATCACTTACTAATTATCTGTTATGCAAAAAAGTTTCACTTGTTAAGTTATTCTAAACTTCAAAGTGTACATTGCGAGTCGCCATAATTTACGCTGAGAATTATAAAACGAACTTGACGTCGATTAAGCAGAAACGGCGAGCAAAGCAAGTTTTTGGTATTTAATTATAACTATTTTATAAAAAAAACCGATTTGAAAAGTTCGTGACGTGAATGACATCTATTTGTCAAGTTTTATTGAAATCGGTTACCGGAAAGTGCGCGATACCGGATTCATCCCCTAGTTTGCCACGTTTAGAGGTAAAATATTTTCTTCAAATTTAAATGGGACCAATGTCTGGACTGTGGTACCCTCTTTCCAACAAAAAAGAATCATCAAAATCGGTTTACAAATAATAGTAATCACGTAACATCGCACAAAAAATACAGTCGAATTGAGAATCTCCTCCTTTTTCGAAGTCGGTTAACAACTATCTTTGTCTAAGTATAAACAAGAAATTACGAAGTAATCCCAATCTCAATTCTTGCCTAAACTTAGACCAAGTTCATTTTGTGAATACGAAAAACTTACTTAGCTCGCCATTTTTGCTTAGCAATATCTTCTTCTTGTCGTATCGATGGCATACTGACTATTATAATCGCAGCCCAGAACTTAGGCACGCTGAATTGGGCATGGGATGCTTTCCATGTTGTGAAGGGATTTGCCACGCATCGTAAGGTATACTCGTCGATTGCTACCCAGGTTTACGCCTGACGTACCTACTAAGAATACTTTCGTGCACCCCAAAATCAAGTCGAAGCCAAAGTTTGTTTTTTAAATCTCAACCTTGGTTCTTCCAAAATAGAAAATATACTAACCGTAAATTTTTTCCCAAGCTATAAATGTCTCCAGATCTTTTCCATCCCACGGCGGAGGTTGATATTCGACGACTAGCACCTCGCCTTCCAGGGCAGAGGCTTGTGCCCTTGGCTCTACAGGGGCTTTGCAGCCCCCAAGGAAGAGTAAAGCGATAGGTGCAGCCGGTGGCGGGGCATCAAGTGTCTCCGGAAGCGGAAGTGGACCACCAAGGGGAACGATTTGAGGAGCGCATAGTGGGCCTGAAGGTAGACCCGCAATGACAGCACCCGCTTCTTGTATAGGATCGCTCACTATCTCCGCAACTGTGTTGTTATTGCATACTGTCACCTGAAATAATAAAGTTTAAATAGCTGAGTTAAGTAATGAATTCACTAATGATAATAAACGTGCAAGACGTAAATGTGTTCTACATTTTACGAACTCTCCAGTACCGTCGTAGTACAGAACTCCCATTTTTTTAGCCTTGTCCGTATGATAGACATTCAATAAGACAATTAGACGCACGTCTAACAACTTGTACTAACAGCTACAAATCTCACGAGGCATCCAAATTGACTGATAGCGATCCATCTTGGCCTCATCTCCACATTTATTAATTTGCCTTTAATAACACATTGTTGATAACCGACAGCCGGTCTCGTGTGTAACGGGGACGTCAGTCATATTCTACGAATTCGGTTGCCATGAACGTTGTTTACATCGCTTACATTTCTACTATGTAAATTGGGTTAAAACCAGCTAAGTTACAAGGTTAAAAATACTCAAGCGTTTAAAAAACTGGATATGTATTTTTTATTTCTATTATACAGTGTGCTCCTTTAAAATAGTCAGTGATTTTTTGGTTTATCACCCAGTACCTATATAACATTCGATAACGAAAATATATATGAAGTAATCTTAGACGTGTTATTTCCACACGTGAGAACTCATATTTCCATGATACAAATAAAATTACTATAAGATGTAAGAATTAAAATGAATATCCCGTCTTTAAACTTGCATCCATCAAATGCCCTGAGCAAAAAACGTTAAAGTGTAGGTATAATATCATGTAAATGCAGGAATGGACCTTGACTTGAGTTCATGGCGTTTTTACCGGCCCAAAGTGACGTCACGGCGAAGTTATGCGTACGCGCTGCCCCCTCACACCGCCCCGCGCCCAAAACGAAGCCTCCAGGATAATGCGTCTGATACATCTTCAACGAGGAAAAAAGAAACACGATGGTCCCGTCGAAGGCATTCGAGACCCAGCCCGCAGCCGATTTTACACGGCCAACGCGTTTTGGTATTACAGACAAGAAAGATGGAAGTAAGATACGATATGCGGACAGATTTTAAAAGTAGATTTATTGCTGTTTATAAAATATTTTCAGAATATTCGAAATCTTGATTCGAATCCAAGGTATATATAATATAGGTAAATTGATTTGCAATGTCCATAACAAAGAGACTAACGTGATCATCGAACAACTTTAACGGTTTATAATCACATGAGTTGTTATGCATTGTAAAACTTACAAGACAATATTTTGTTAAATTGGACTGTTTGTTAGGTGCATAATGCATAAGAGAAATTATTGCGATCTGTTTGTAGGTAACAATGCTCTTTCTATGGTTATAGATAATGTACTACCGTGGAACATTTTTTTAACATGCCCCAGATTAAACCTGCCTTATCTCTGCTTACATCCCATCAATCCATCAAAACCGTCTAAAGTTACTAAAAGGGGTTACAAAATAGATTTTTTTCGGTTGTTTTGTTTACGTGGAATCCACTTCGTTGTTTTTTAGCATACATTTTTGTGATAAAAATAAATAAAAAATAGTGACAGACATCGTTTTGTTGTGTCGTACGCGATTTTGCTGGCTCCGCTGAGCGCACAAAAAAGATAATAATTTTGAGAGTGATGTAGAATGATTATTAATTTTATGGCCCAACATCCATTCGATAACCTTCAAAACAAATTGTTAAAATATACATTTCATACGTTTTAACGATTCTCAGAAAAATAATAATAATATCGAGTTCTTAGATTTTCGCGATAGTTACACATAGGAAATGAAACTATTTTTCCGGATTTAAATCGCGTACCTATGTTTGCTTTTTCAAACAAATACGCGGTTTGTTTGAAAAAACAAATATACCCGATTTAATTCCGGAAGAATAGTTTCATTTACTAATAATGATAATGGTAATAAAATTAAATATTTACTTTAATTACCACAAGCAATAAGCATATTGGGCATAGTAGTAAGTAAATGGTAAAAGAGTTTAGTAGGTATCCAGCATGTATATCTAAACCAATACTTTTCACTGCTATACGAACTTTTACATAATTACTAGTCTCAATCAATGTAATAATGCTTTTACTAAAAAAAATAGGAAAAAAAAATAGATTTTACTGTTTTGTAGCGCCATCTACTAGCAGTCTGTAGTACTATACACGGTATCATAAGCTGCTGCCATCTAGGGGCGATCCATCGTACTGGTTACAGAGCCAAATGCTCACTACAACACTACTAAGTACTGCTTAAAATCTCTAGAGGGCGCACCTTTATCGTTAAAATTATATTTTACTATTTTATATGGTGATTTAAAAAAACTAAAAGTGAAAAACATTTCGTCCTTCAATATTGGATCTAAAACTCAAATAATTTCTGGGAATTATTTCCTACCAACATTTGTGCTAATCTAATAGGAATGTCATTAGCTAAACGAATAAATACCAGTGCAGTCGCAAAATGCTTACTGCTCTACGATGCAAGTGATATGATCAGATAAATTACATACCTAAATACAACTATGTCAATAATTCCAAATGAAATGGTTTTTCCATTTACTTTCTTGTCTGATTCTATTGCAATTTCACCACGAGATTTTTGGAATTACTGAGAAGAAAATGATATTAATTGACACTAACAAAAATACGTTACTATTAACGTACTGTTTCGTATGCGTATATGCTAAAACGCAGGGTAGGTATGTAACTTGATATACATATTGGTCAAACAAGGTCATATACCAAAGCTACAAAGAAGAAGCTCCTACAGACTGCCCAGAAATTTCTTTACTTTGGTTGATTTCGCAACCAGTCGGGTTGCACTTTCCACAGCCGCGTCACTCGCCTGTCATTGACACCTGCAGTCTATTGCCAATACTTGCCACCGGAGACCGGTCAAACGTGGTCACTAATGAAATAAATAAGATTAAGCTTTATTACCGTGGAATAAGATGGTTATCTACGTTCTAAATTGGTGTTTTAGGATCTGTTAAACCGGTTCGGTGTTGATCAATTAAGAAGATAAAATATTTGAAACGTTCGCTAATTTCGCTTGGAAAAAATATTTGTCTATTTTCGATTTTAAAGTACGAGTGAGAGGCATACATAGATATAGATAAACATCTATGTCTCTCACTCTCACTCATTCCCACCTTTTTGGTTTAAGAGATTTGAGAGATCACTTTACTCTAGCGTAAAAATAAGTTTACTAGTTCTAAAAATTTAATACTTAATTTGAAATTAACTGTCTTTCATTTTGTTTTGACTACCACGATAGTCGTATATTTTCTGTGAAAATACTCCACTAGTTTGTATACAAATAACCTAACCTCCGATTAAAAAAACCGACCTAAAAAGTTATTCACCCCCTAGTTTGCCACCCTTAGAGGTGGAATATTTTCTTGTAATTTAAATGGGACCACATCTGAGGTACCTTCTTTCCAACAAAAAAAGAATCATCAAAATTGATTCACAAATGGCGGAGTTATCGCGTAACATACATACACACAAAAAAAGAACATACAGACGAATTGAGAACTTCCTCCTTTTTTTGAAGTCGGTTAAAAACGACCAAACAGAAAGAAAAATTCCTTTGATCAGAGTGAGGCAGCACCAGTCGACTCCGCCGTTTAAACCGAATACCAAGATCCGCAACGTGGATATAGAGGAATTAATACGATCTGCTGGTTCGATCCGTTGGCAGAGCGGTAGCCACGTTGAGACGCCAGACGTTGGTTTTAGTACAGTCGAAACGAAGGTTTTGTCTTTGTAATAAGAAATTAAAGTCATAGTTACAGGCCGCCACAAAATTAGTAACTATTAAGAAATATGTGAGCGTTGCTCCACCATACCAAATTTTATTCCGTGATTTCAAATGGATCCAAATAGGAACATAAGAAAAGCTGTTTCGTATTGAATTGTGCAATCCCGCAGGTTATTGTACCGTGTTACTTATTTATTTGTAAAGGGTGTCGAATAAGAACACATTTCATACACAAATTACATATATCTACAGTATGATTTCATACTGAATTAATTTATTGTAAAAATACTATATTCTATGACACATTGTAACAAAGAAATGTTACAAGACGAAAACATAATTTTCTCAAGAAAATACGTAATTGTTTTATTTTGTTTGTTGTTTCTGTTATTAATAGGTACTTTGTTTTATGTTGTGTTGATTCATATTGTTCTATGTACAACAATTTTATTGTATCAAAATCTTGAATGCAAATGTAAATTAAGCTGATATTAAGTTATGCTCGTTTTGTTCGAAAGTTGACGGCCTTTGATTCTCGTTCTGAAACGTCTAAGGCGAGTAGAGCGATGCAAAATAAATTAAATTGATAGATATGACACGCATTTTGAACGCTTCAAGACCGTGGTCGTCGAGGTAAACAAAATAATTATATTATACACGATTAAGTCCCGATATTAAATTCAAATAAGGATCACTATGTCATTTGTCATTACGCTTTCTACTGTACGCACTAGGTGCAATTGCGGGTGAAGTATGCTATCATTATCATTACTCGTTTTTCACTAAACTGGAGCGAGTCATGATGTTTAGCAACTTGGCAACCCATCCGGGCCGGTGTGGCAACACCCATTTCTACGCTTATTTTCTAATGTAGCAACAAATTGATTAGATAATGTTTAGCTACGTACTTTTATTCCGTTCTATGTACAATTGTACTTCTACAACTTTGTATATAAACTTTTCTCTATTTCTTTTCAATAATTTTTAAAAGGTAAAAAAAAAAAATTTTTATAAAAGTGCGTACTCGTATCTCGTATCTCTTGGTGTTAACTGCAAGTCTGTTCTACAGATTTAAATTCAAATTACCTTTATTTGAACTGTTACGCGCTCACTAAGCATACAGGTGGTCAGCAACTTTCGCAATTTAGGGAGTCAAACGCATTAAACCGGTCATGAAATGCTTAATGTCTGCTATGCAGTAAGAGCGAAAAGACGGTGTGAATTTCGCTTCCGCTCGGATTGTGGATACGAAAGGCCAACACAACGCCTTTTCGCTCTTTTTA